GCGGGTGAGGGGAGAAGTGCACCGGGGCCACGCCAGTCGGTGCCACGAGCTGGTGGCCGTGCTCCTCTCGGCATCTGCACACACCAATGCAATCACGCAGGAGGACCCGGCCTGTGAGGCTGGAGTGGGGGCAGAGGTCTTCATACCTGAACTCCTTGGTGCTCGCCGTGGCAGGGGAGGCAGACAGGCTGCGGGACTTGGCCCGCCCCCGGAAGGGGTGGCTGGGCCCCCAGTCCTCATTGCCATGACACGCGGAGCAGTGGTACGAGGCCGAGTCTGTGCCCAACCCCTGACTCACACTGACTCTGTCTTGTTCCATGTCCACTGTCGGTGAGTGAGGACGTTGGTCAGGAGGACACGGATGCCTTAATGGAACGAGACACACAGGTGAGTGAGCGCCATACAAGTGCCAAATAGCCTTGCACACGGCTGTCCCACTGGGGGAAATGGCTGATGTCCAATTTACCAAAGGACCCTGAAAACAGTCTGCTTCCATCCCAAAGATACTTAAGAATTCAGGAACCTACCTGTTGCTTTTAATACATGAGAGCTAAATGTCAAAGAATCAGATAAAGCTGCCAAGTGAGAATTGTGGCACTTCTTTCATGAGCAGGATGAAGAGTCAGCTGTTGCTGGGAGGTGGGTGGGGATGGCCAAAGGCCACAGGGAACAGCACGTCAAGAAGGGGACATCACAGTACACAGCCTTGACCCTCTCAGGTCAGAGCAGCTGAGTAAAATACAAAGGTCCATCAGCAGGTGTACCTGCAAACACAGCTCGCCTTTCTGACTCAGAGCCAGCAGGACACTTGCAGACTGACCACGCTGAGCCTCAGAGAAAAGTCAGGGAAGGGAACGGACCTGCCTTCCAGCCATAAACCAATAAAGCGAGCAGCGGACAGAAGCAGACACACAACACACCCACCACGGGGATGTCCGAGCCCCTATCTGACCAACATGGGGCTCAAACGGCTATCAAGCCAGCATCAGAGCCGGTCAAAGACACAATTATGTAAACCGAAGTCGAGGCACCCCTTAGGCTGTGCTGAAATTCTAGAGAAGGAAGACTAATAAGCCAAGACTTAACTCAATAAAGCCAGGAAATAATAAAACCTAAGCCTATGACAGAAACAAAGGCAGAAATCAGCACACTGAAAAATGGGAAAAGAACAGAATTTGGAGAAAAACTACAATAGATCAGTCAGTTTGGATCAAGCGATTAAAAAGGTAATTTTCTAAGAAACTGTGGACCAATCGGAGGGAGGGGCCCAGGGCTGCCAAAGCCAGGCCAGGCCTGCTGGCTGTTCTCAGAAGCCCAAGGAGCGGATAGGCCATGGGGGGCACCCCATGTGGAACCTGCCACCACTCACTCCACCCGTGGACTGCAAGGGAGAGTCCGCACACACACTAAAGCCAGACATTCTTTCACTGAAGAAAAAGCTCCCTAGCCTGAGGCGACGCAGATGCTGGCACAGAAAGGGCAAATGGGGGGGCAGGGGGGTAGAAGGAAAGCAGGAGCCTCAGACAGGCCTGAGGCCTTCATATCACGGTCAAAGGCACGAGGGTCCCCAAAGCCCCATGCTCAGCCCGGACTAGAGGCACCAGTTTTCCAGGCTCCCTGGCGACTCTGATGTTCCGGGTTGACGCCACCACCCCAGGACCAACATCCTCCGAGCCTGAGAAACACGGACACTTTATCCAAACACATGAAAAACTCAGTGAAAACCAGAACCTATCAAACATGTCGATCTGAGCACGCCTATTCAATACTGTGCTGGGGGCCTCAGCGGGCGCCCTCCACGTGAGAAAGCCAAGCACAAGGCCCGAGGACAGAAAGGAGCAGGTGAAACTCTACCTGGAGACACGAGCTACACAGAAAACCACGAGCGTCTGCTGAGGCTGTTGGGAGACAGACGCGGTACGTGAGCACGGCTGCCCTTCTGTGGATGGACAAGGACAAGGGGCACAGGCACCCGGACTCGGCAGCACCGAGGAACAGACCACGCGGGGATTTGACCCGCAGAGGCAGCCTAAGGCTGTTTCTGGTTATGGAGGAGGTTACGGGATGTACTGCACTGCGCAGTGGCCTGACTTAGACTCCACTGTGCATTTAACAGGTGCTAAGAGAGCAGATCTTGAAAGTTCTCACCACAAGAACAAAGGATTTGTACTTGTGTGGTGATGGGTGTGAAGCAGACTTATTGTGAAAGTTTCCTAGTACACAGGAATACTACATTATGTTGCACACCTGAAACTAATATAACGCTCGCTATGTGTCAATTACATGTCCAGTTTTTTAAAAAGCACAAAATCTATACACTGAAAACTAAAACATAAAAGGAAAAAGAACTACGTCTTTTCCTGTTTTTCAGTGTGCTGATTTCTGCCTCTCTCTGTCACTTCTGCCATCTCATGCTTGCTTTATTCTTTTTCTGGCTTTACTGAGTTATATTCTAGCTCATTGCTCTTCCTTCTTGACAATCTCAGCAGAGCCGAAGACGACGATGCCTACACTCTGGCTTCACGCTAATGTGATTCTCGTCTTTGATTTAGTGTAAGGCTGGTTTTGAGCCATTTGAGTGGCGTTTTGTAGTTTTCAGTGTACAGATTTTGTAGTTTTGTTTTGTAGTATTTGCTTCCAGAAATTAAAGGAAACAAGTAAATGGGGAGGCATACCATGTTCATGGATTGGAGCACTTAATATTGTTAAGATGTCAGTTCTTCCCAAACTGATCTACAAATTCTAACCAAATCCAACATACAAAACCCCAGACTCTTCTATAGGAAATGACAAGGTGATTCTAAAACTTATGGAAATGTACAGGACATGGAATAGCCAACAAACAGAAAAGAATAAAGTTCAAGGACAAACACTACCTGATTTCATCATTTGTTATAAAGCTACAATACCAGACAGTGAGTTACTGACACAAAGATAGACAGACAAACCAAGGGGACAGGACAGTCTAAAATGACACCACCACACACAGACAGTCAATGGATCAACAGAGGTACTGAGGTAATTCAACACAGGGGATAATCTCTCTAGCTGTTGAAAAACCTGTTAGCCGTGTGAAAAAAATGCAGCTAAACTATTTCCTCACACTACAGGCAAGCAGACTTCACTTTACTGTGCTTTGCAGACACGGTGCTTTTTACAGACCAGAGGCTGTGGGCATCCTGCATCCAACAAGTCTATCGGCCTTTTTCCTGACAGCATCGCTCCCTTTGTCTGAGTCACATTTCAGCAATTCTCACCGTATTTCCAACTTTCCTCCATTGTTATGGTGATCTGTGGTCAGTGATCTCTGCTGTTATCAATCATTTTGGGGTGCCATGAACTGCACACACATTTAAGACGGTGAATTTAATCGACAGATGTGTGTGGCCTGATTGGCCTCCACTGGCCACTCCCCCACCTCCCTCTCCTGGGGCCTCCCTATTCCCTGACTCAACACTGACCCGAGGCCAATTATAACCTTGCAATGGCCTCTAAGTGTTCAAGTGACAGGCAGGGTCACATGTCCTTTAAATCAAAAGCTGGAGATGCTGAAGCTCGGTGGGGAAGGTGAGTCAAAAGCCAAGACAGGCCAGAAGCCGGGCCTCCTGTGCCGGCCGGCCAGGGTGTGAAGCAAGGAAAAGCCCCGGACGGACACTGAAAGCGCCCCTCCAGCGACCGCACGAGCGATGAGAATGGGGAACAGCCTCACTGCCGACGTGAGACAGGGGGCTGGACGGCAGACCACGGCAGCCCAGCATCCCCGCAGGCCAGAGCCCGGTCCAGCGCAGGGCCCCGACTCTCTCCAATCCTGTGAGGCTGGGAGGGGAGGAGGCTGTGGAAGAAAAGCTGGATGCTGGGAAAGGTGGTTTCAGGAGGCTCGACGAAAGAAGCATCTCCACAACCTAACAGCGCAGGTGAAGCCGCAGGTGCTGATGGCGACGCTGCAGGAAGCCATCCAGGCCGGGCCGAGATCACTCAAGGCGGCTGCACCGAACCACAGGTTTTCCATGTGCATCAAACAGCCTCATACGGGAAGAAGACGCCACCTGGGGCTTTCCTAGCCGGAGGGAAGTCAGTGTCTGGCTTCAAAGCGGCCAAGGGCAGGCTGACTCCCTCGTGAGGGGCCGATGCAACTGGTGGCTTTAAGCTGAAGCCAGCGCTCACTTGCTTTTCCAAAAATCCCCGGGCCCTTAAGGATTTTGCTAAATCTACTCCGCCCACGCTCTCGAAATGGAACAACAAAGCCTGGATGGCAGCACGTCTGTTTACAACAGGGTTCACTGAGTATTCTAAGCCCGCTGTTGAGACCTACTGCTCAGAAAGATTCCTTTCAGAATATCAGTGCTCACTGACGAGGCGCCTGGTCACCAGGAGCTCCGATCACAACGGGCGAGACTCGTGTGGCTGTCCCGCCTGCTGGCCCGACATCCACCCTGCAGCCCAGGGGCCAGGGAATCATCCCGACTTTCAAGTCTTACTATTAAGAAATACACTCTGCAAGGGTATAGCTGCCATAGACAGTGATTCCTCTGGGGCACCTGGGCAGAGTCCATGGAAAATCTCCCGGAAAGGATCCACCATTCCAGGAGCCGTTAAGAACATTCGTGTTTCCCAGGAGCAGGTCTAAATATCAATATTCACAGGGGTTTGGAAGTTGATTCCGGCCCTCGCGGCTGACTCTGAGGGGCTCGGGGCTCAGTGGAGGGAGTGACTGCAGACGGGGTGGAAACAGCACGAGAACTGGAGTCAGCAGTGGGGCCTGGAGATGGGGCTGAGCTGCTGCATCTCGTGGTTGACATCTGCACAGGTGAGGAGCCGCGTCTTAGGGAAGAGCAAGGTGACTTCTTGAGATGCATCTGCTCCTGGTGAAGACGCTGTGCAGACTGCTGAAATGGCTACGAAGGACTAAGATTATCCTATGAGCTCCGTTGACGAAGCAGTGGGCAGGCTGTGGGGAGGGATCCAATCTGGAGGGAGTTCCCCTGCGGGTAAACGTGACCAGACAGCATCGCGCGCTACAGAGAAGTTGCTGAGAAGGGAGGCGTCCACGGACGCAGAAAATTTCATTGTTGAATATTTCTAAGAAATGGCACAGCCACGCCGGCACCACCACCCAGAGCAGTTCGGTGCCATCAGCGGGGAGAGGCAAGACCCTCCCCCGGCAGAAGGGTTATGGTTCCCTGAAAGCTCAGATGGTTAGCGTATTTTTTAGCAACAAAGTATTTTTTAATGAATTCATGCACATTGTTTCTTTAGACACAATGCTACTGCACACTTAATGGACTGCAGTAGAGCGTACAAGTGTATAAATGTGCATAGTGTACAAACATAACTTTTTATGCACTGGAAACTCCAAAATTCATTTGACTTCCTTACTGTGGTATTTGCTCTATTGTAGTGATTTGCAACAAAACCACAGTATCTCTGAGGTGTGTCTGTACAAAGGTAACTCAAAATGAATCATAGAACTAAACGTAAGAATCAAAACTATGAAACTTTCAGAAGAAAGGAAAATCTTAGTGGCCTTCGGTTTTGCAAAGTCTTCTTAAGACATAAAAAGGCACAAACTATAAAAGAAAAAAAACTTGAAAAACTGAACTTCATTACAACAAACACCTTTATTCTTCCTAAAACAAAATGAAAACACAAGCTTCAGATAAAAACATATGTGCTAAATGTTTAAGTAACAAAGAACTAGCAGCCAGAAAATGTAACGAGCTTTCAGAAACTCAGGAAGAAAACAAACCACTCAGTTAAAAAATGGGCAGAAGATCTGAACTTTGGGCGACTTCCCCACAGACAAGCACATGCAAAATGTTCAGTGCCACTGGGCATCGGGGAGACTTGGACTGGACTAAACCATGGGAAGCCACTGGACACCCAACAAGAATGGCTGCGACGGGAGAAAGCTGGCCGGCTGTACCAAGGGTCCCAGAGGCCGCGGGGGGACTGCTGGCGGTGCCTAAGGTATCAGACACGCATCTGCCCTCTGCACCAGCCGTCCCCCCCTAGGTGTTCGCTCAGGACAAACGCTTGTCCGTGAACCTTCACTTGTGATGCCCCAAAAGGGAAGCAATCATTCATTTGGATCTTTGCTCAAATGTCACCTCGAGGACACACCTGCACCGCTGGGCTGCCCTCCCCCTCGCCCCTCGCAGGTCCCCACCCAAGCTCATCACTGCCTGCCACCCTGTTACCACTTTCACCTGGGTTCTCTCTCCCTCCCAGTCCCAGAGCTGAACTCAGAAGACATCTTGCTCAGGGCTCTCAGAGCCGGAAACACAATTACTACCTGCCCTTCCCCTACCTACTACCCCCTCCCCTCCTACTCCCGCTCCTCCCAGCAGCTTCCATGACCAACCACCCACAATCAACCCGGGTGCACCTTGTCCCAAGCCTGGAGTCCAGAGGGCAACGGTGTGTCTGCGGACTCGCAGACGCAGGCCACCCCACTGGCCCAGGCTGGCCACGCACCAGTGCACAGGTGAGGGGGGCCCACGGATGCCCATATGCACCTGCCTCTCCATCATGAGGGCTAAACCCACCTTTCCTCAAGTGCCAAACTCAGTAAGACAGGGTGTCCTGGTTTCACGTCCAGGGCGCCACTCCCTGTTGGATCAGGTCTCAGGACCCCTTTACTGTTGCTCAAAATGCCATTTGGCTTTGTGCTACCCACAAACACTCACCTACAAGCTCGAAAAAAGCCCAGGCCCCCGAGGGCTCACCTGCCAGGGGAGCCTCCGGGCCAGGCTTGCGCTGGCCGGCCGGCCCCGAGTTGTTGGGGGGGCGGAAGCAGGGCCACGGCGAGGAAGGAGCTCGGGGCGGCCGCTGGGTGCGGAGGACGACGTCCGGTGGGCCCCGGGGAACGGGACGCGGGAAGCGGCGGGTCGAGGGCTCCGGGCGGACGCGAGGGGAAGCCGCGCGGGTCAGGGCCAGCCCAAGGGGCGACCCTCCACCCGGACCCTGGGCCCCGCCCACAACCCAGGTCCGAGACCCGGACCCACGACCCCGCCAGCGAACCGAAGCGTGCGACACCCCCCTCCCGGCCGCACCGCTCCCGGCTGGACCGGGCGTGCCCGGCGCCACGGCGCGGGCTCGCGATCCGCGCAGCAGCCGCCCGACGCCTGTGGGGCAGCGGCAGTGTCGGGGGTCGGCCGGGGTCGGGGATACGGCCCCTCAGACCCCCACAGACCCGGGCCCACGCCGGGCAGACTCCGCAGTGCTGGGCGGGGGTAGCTGGTCAGCCACTCCCGGCGTCCACACACAATGGGCAGGGCCGGCCCCGGCCCCGAGACCCCGGCCCGCGACCCCGGCAGAGCGGCCGCGCGCACTCACCGTTCGCTGCCGCGGACGCCTGCAGGGCCGGGGCCTCGTCGAGCCGAGCCCGCTGGCCCCACCGCCCCGCCGCCGCTCGCCGTCGCTAGCCTGCCCCCGGCGCCGCGGCCGGCCTCCGCCCCATGGCCGGCCCCCCACCCACCCCGCCTCAGCCCCGGCCCCGGCCCGCGGCGCCGGCCCGCCAAACAGCGAACCCGCAGGTGCGCACGCGCACCCGTCCACCTCGCGCAAGCGCCGGCGCGTGCATTAGTCGGCCCTCCCGCGCATGCGCCTGCCTGCCTGTTTCCTCCACCCCCCGCCCCGCTCCTGGCGGCCCTCGCACCAAGCTGCGCGCATGCGCCCCCCCAGCCCCACCAACCCCGCGCCCAGGGGTCGGTTCGCTCGGCGCGGCTCCCGGGGAGGAGGGCTGGCAGGCGGCTGGGGGCTCGGCTGTCCCCCCACTAGCCGGCGGCCAGGAGAGGCTGTTCCCCTCTCTGGCCCCTGTGGCCCGGCGGCTGCGTCTGGGGAGGGCCCTCCCTGACCACCAGGTGAAACCAGCCTCCTCGGGGGAGGGCTCTTGCCTCTGAACTGCAGGGAATTCTGGAGCAAGTCGTTGAGGCGCGAGTAGCAGGGAATGGCAGCTGCCTGGCGGGCAGCAGAGAGCAAGGACGCTGAAGGAGGACAGAGAGTGAAGACTTTGGCTTAAGTCTAGAAAATAGAATTAAATACGAAGTAACAAAGACGGCTTACCACTGGAAGAGCATAGAGACAAAACGCAGTAAGTTGAGCAGTGACAACTTTTTATTTAAGGCAAAAAGTACGCACCTGAAGAGAGAGGAATGTGGGCAGCCCCAGAGACACACTTAAGGGCTTAGGATTCTGTCTTTTAAGGCTTTCGAGAATGGGGACAAAGAGCGGAGGGTTGGGGGGCTGTTTGTTGGGCATGGATATGTCACTATCCACAGTCCCCCAGATACTCTGTAAGCTAAACTTACAGCAAGGAATTTATTGATGTGGTTCTTCGAGGTAGTGGAAGCCCTCAAGCACTGAGAACACATCGGTTAGGGCTGCTTGTCCTGCCTTAAGATAGGGTGGGTTATATTGTCTGATTACCAAAGAATATGTTAGGAGTCTTACCTAACTTCCTAGTTTCTAAAATGGAATCTTATCCTTAAGACGGAGTCCTTCCTGTTCTTACTCTGCTGTTTATTTATCGGCATTTTTCATCCTAGGCAGGAAAAGTTCATCATGATGCTTGTCCCATGTCCCTGCCCTACCTCAGTCCCTACTCACCTGCTGTGTCTTAAACTCACTGCCCCCAGTCCTACCCCGCTCCCCTCCGCCAGTGGCCAGGCGGGCTGGCCAAGGGCCCTGCCACCGGTGACACCATAGCTACTAGGGTGAGACTCTGCTTAGAAAGAACATGTTTTGGGAACCAAAACTCCGTGTGAGGAGCCACAACACAGCTGTGGCCCTCTGCTGCCTGCCTCACCCACCCCAGCACCCTGGGGCCCTTGCACACCACTTAGACCTCCAGGGCTCAGGGCCTGAAGTGGGGCCCCTCCAGGCCAACCTGCGAACATCGCTCTTGCCCCCCAGGCTGGAAGAGCCAGGGAGGAGTTGGGAGGCCCGCTCACAGCTTCTGGAGGAGATGCGGGCCGCCTCCAGTCTGGGTGCAGTGGGCTTCTCTGGGCTTGCTGAACTGGCATTACCCATAGCTAGTGCTCTCAGGAGCAGTTTGCCAGGCTCTCAGGGGCCTGTCTGTGAATAAGCTGAAGAAGGGTCACTGTGGATGAACCCAGGCAGTGCTCCCCAAGTGCCAGCCATTGTTCCTTTTCACACCTGGGTCTCAGGATGTGGTGAGATAGACCAGGGAAATGGGACAAGTGTGTACTGTTTTTTCAAATAAACTCCTTCATAAGCTGACTGCACTTGAATCCGAACTCTTTTCCATGATAAAGAGAAGCCCTCTCCCGCCTCGGCCTCTGGGGGGAGGCGTCCCTGTCACGCCGCTGTCTCATGCAGCTCCCTAGTCTCAGCAGCGTCCTTCAGACCAGGAGGGGGGTGGGAGTGCTCAGGACATGAGCTCCCTCCACCCAGGGCTCTGCGGCTCCCCTGAGCCCCGGGGTGGTGGGGGCTTAGTTCCCACTCCGCGCAGATCCCAGCGGACACGGGGCGCCAGGTGGCCCCGGCATCAGGAGCTGGCGAGGGATGTGCCGCGTGCCGAGCAGTTCGGTGGGCTGCCCCTTCCCCCCTCTGCTCTTCTGGCCCTGCCGCCCGGCTGCTGCCATTCACTACCACTCTCTTTAATGGATCCTTCCTTGCACTCATCTGACCTGGTCAAGAATCCTTTGCTGCCCGGGTTAAGGTTTCACCTAGTGCACAGGGAGAGACCTCACAGATGCAGCTGTCCATCAGCAGTGGCGCCCCTACCCCAGGTCCCCGCCCCTGCCCCCCATACCTGCTGGGGTTAGTCTTCTCTGGCTGGGCCTCCTGGCTGTGTCCAGAGACCTGGAGCTCTGCGGAGCACAGGACATGACACATCACTGTGGTCCTGGGACCACTGGGCAGTGGGGTCACCAAGGGTGAGGGTAAAGGGGGGGAAGGGACGACAGAAATTTGGGGGGATTTCTCAAGTTCTGCAACTTCCCCACCAGGTTATTTTGTAAACTCAACCGCTTCCCGAAAGTGGCAGCCGGCCACACCCACAGAAGGAAGCCTTTGAGTTGTTTTGGACCTGATCTTCGACACACCAATGCTTGGCCCACCGCTCGCTTGTGCTGGGCCCTGGGCCAGGCCTTCCCAAGAGTCTTCTAGAACAGGAACAGTCTTTGCAAGAGAAGACTTCCAGGCAGGGGCACCGGCCGAGCAACTGGCCAAGGCCACACAGTGGGCTCCCTTCCCCTGTGCCCCTCTCTAAGGGGGACTTGTGCAGGTGTGTGGCTGTAATCATGCACACCTGCCTACCCTGGGCCTCGACACTTCCGGAGCGCCTCCCCATCTGAGGTGAGAGCGCGGGGCTCAGCTTCCTTCAGAGAACCCTATGGTGTGATTTCTCCCGGCAGGCACGGGCCCCACCCTGGGATTTCAGAGGCCTCCAGCTCACACCCAGCCCCGTAAGGGCTGCTGGCGATAACACCGGCCAACACTGGGAGGGGTGCCTTAGGGCATCTGGAAGGTTCTTGGAGGTGACGCCTAGGCTGAGTCCAAAGGCTCAGCTGAGATCAGCCGGGCTTGGCTGGGACAAAGGCCAGTGTGGGAGTGGGGTAGGGTCAGGCCAGTTTGGGCTGGGTGAGGGGTGGGGGTCTGCAAGGGCTGCGTCCCTCCTGCCAGGCCCTGAGCGCCACCTGGGGCTGTAACCTCCAGTAGGTTGGTATTTGTTTCTTTGTCTGTCTTAAACATGGCTCCTGGATCAAATAAGCTTCAGATCCCCCAAAACCGGAACCATCCTCTTGAGGGTTGAATGAGGGGGGCCAGCAGGGTGTGTGGGAGCTAGAAATTGCCTATACAGAGCTGCCCTCATTCAGGCAGGGGGGTGCACTTGGATTCTGGGGGCAGTCCGGTGGGGGTGCCCTGGCTCTCAGGTGCAGGGGAGGGCGTTGGGTGTTCCTCTTCAGAGCCTTGCCCCCTCCCAGCTTTCTGAGAAGCTGGCCTCAGCTGACCCCAGCTCAGGTGAACAGAGGTTAGAGGCGGCTCCCAAGCAGCTAAAAGGGGAGGTGGCCAGGGGCCTGAGTGACAGGGTGGCTGGGAGGGACCATGGCATCCTGTGGAGGAGGTGGGTGTCTCAGGCTACCCAGAGGCCATCTCGTCCAGCCCCCAGCCTCCACCCTCCAGCCAGCACTCCTAGGACAAGTCTGGCCCCCCCCTCTGGACCTCCCCCAGCCCTCCCCAGGGGCCGCTGTCTGAAATCGACCCGTCAGGGTCTTGCTGGGACTAGCTTTGGGGGATGGGCCAGGGCTGCCCCTCCTCCTGCAGGTGCACCAGGTGGGGGACACACAGCTCAGCAGGAACAGGACCTTGGGGTGGGCGGGATGCTTCTCCCCAGGGTGTTCAGGGGAGGGGCATGCCCTGCTCCCAAGTGTCAGATAGAGGGAGCCGCAGGCCTGACGGGGCCAAGGTGTGGAGAGCCTGGGGTCTTTGATGGTAAAGCCTCGAGAGCTGCCCCTGCTCCCACCCATTCTTTGCACACGTGGGACTCACTGATTCTCACATGGCCTTTAGGAAGCTTGTTTGCAGTTTGCACACAAGGAAACCAGGGCACAGAGAGGCCAAGTAACTCACTCAAAGTCACACAGTGAGGACATGAAAGGACCGAGTGTGGCCTCAGCTCTGGTGTGGGCTTTGGCCAGATCCAAGGAGTGGGGAGTTGGGTGGGGGAGCACGTTCCCTCTGGTCGGCCCCCAGGGTCAGTGGGGGTGGGTGGGGGACACTTAGGACCCCATGGCTCTGCATCCAGGTTCAGGTGTTCCTTGGGCTGGGGATGAAGGGCAGGTAGTCCATGCCCTGGTGAGGCAAACAGTGCACAAGTGGGCACGAGGCCAGGTGCCATGGGAGAAGGAAGAGACCCTGGGATTGGGGCAGGGTGACCAGGACCCTAGAGGTCACTTTGAGGCGCTGGCTTATGCCCAGCTTCCTCAGCACTTGGTACAGTGAGAACATCACACCCAAGACGGGTGCCCACTGGGCAGGGCCGAATGTGTGGCTGGGGAGAAGGGAGGGCACCCTACAATCTGCAGGGAGTATCACTTTCCAGGGGTGTCCAGCCGGCAAGGCCAGGTGCTCTAGGGTTCTGCCCCATCTGTGACCTTCAGTTTTGTCTGAAGTCTGGAGAGGCTGCAGTTCACTCAGCAGTGTAGATGCCCCTCCACCTCCACCCAGCTGGAGGGTGCCAGGTGCTGCTCAATATGCTTCCAATGGGCAGTGTGCAGAAGGGAGGGTGGCCTTGTGGCCACTCATGTCAGCTTCTGTACCCAGGGCACGGGAGCAGGGGACATGCTGGGTGCCAGGCCAGGCCTTGCTGAGGCTCCACTTTATGGTGCCTACCATGCCCAGGACGGTGGGCACTGTGGGCAGGTGTGCCCCTCCCAAGGACTGACTGCCTCCCAGGGGGCACCACGGATGCTCCCTGGCATTTTGTAAGACAGCTGGTAGTGCCAGCCCATTTCAGGGAGATGTGGGGAGGAGGCTGTGGCAGGCAAATGCACCATTCAGTGCCAGTCACCCGGGGAGACAGCATGAGACCGAGAGTGGGGCAGCCGAGGCCCTGCCACTCGTCTTCGTGGTGCCTGGGAAAGGGAGCCTCTGGCGGCAACATTCCCACCGAGCTGTCTGCTTACTTCTGAAAAAGACCTGATCATTTCTACAGCCTTACAGAACATTCAAGTTTAAAGATGTGTGTCCCTTGTGGAGAGCACAGGGAGGCCCTGCTGAGCTGCGTGCACTCCCAAAGTCTGGCAGATGCTTGGTGCTCGGGTTCTCTCACAAGATGCAGCTCTGATTCACACCGAAGTGAACTGTGGAGCCAGAGGAAAGTCTGCAGTAACGTCCTCCGACATCTGAGGGGGCTGCCAGCTAGGCGCAGGCCCACATGGGAGGCCAGCAGGACAGCCGTTTCGGCAGACGCCCCCGGCGCCGGGGCAGCACCTGAGAGGTGGGGGGCGACCAGGCTGTGGGAACCTGCTGCTCCGCAGGCCCATCTGTGATGGGACAACAGACAGGCTAGAATGTGGGCCACCCAGGGCAGGCCAGGGCACTGCCCCCACGGCCAGTCAGTCAGGGCCCCCGAGGCAGGCAGACGGCCCTGCAATGAACAGCACGCCAGCGTCCCTCATGTCAAACCGCTTTATTACACCTTACATCACATACAGTCTAACAGAGTATCTATCTTGCATCCAGCTTCCTTGCAGTACACTGACTTTAAAATTAAATACAAAAGATGGAAGGGCAGGGGTGCAGAGCTCTACAGGTGTCAATGGGAAGAAAAGGAAGGGGTTTTGTTTCTACTTTCTGCCAGATCCACCAGACCTACTGTGTGCTGCCGCAGAGCTCTGTCCGGGATGTTGCAGAGGACAGGATGGAGAAGCCACTACTGCTATGGGGACGGGGTGCAGGCCACGACACTGCCGTCCAAGCTCTGCTGCTCAGCGCTGGCTGGGAACAAAACCAGGCGCCTGCGTCTCAGAAGCCTGACCCACCTCTGACGCCATGGCTTGCTCCACGGGGGACAGGCCATGAGGAACTGGTAAAGAGGAAGACCAGGGTCACTGTTCCCTGCGCTCCACTCCCTGAATCCCCCGGTCATTAAGAACAGGACTTGTTTTTTTAAAGAAACAAAGAGAATAGTGACTTGTCCTGCTGCTTAAGCGTGTGGAGCTGCCTGCGGCTTTGCCTCGTGCGCAGAGGAGCAACAGTGAGTAGACAGAGCTGCATGGCCACAACTTGAAAGAGGTTATTTCTCAAAAGAAAAAGAACATCTAAGGACTGAGTACTAAATGCATTAGTGAGCATTTCTACAGCATGCGATTATTCTAAGAGTAAACCACCCAATATGGCAAAGGATCCAAATCTTTTAAAATTTAACTTAGAAAGTTTGAGATCATTATTTTCAAAACATTGATTTGTACATGGTTTCATACACAAGTAACTGACTGCAGACCCAAGCACAGGGCGGGCACTGCCCCTGAAGGCAGAGGGTCCCGGCGGCTGGGGTGGCCTGGGTAGTGTTAGGCTATTGTTAGGAACCGCCTCCACCTTCACAGGAGACCCGGGTGAGAGTCAGAACCGAGGGCCTGGGGAGCCTGGCTGGAGCCCCTGCCCCCTCACGCTTCCCTCACCACGTGTGCCGGGCTCTGCTGCGCCTTAGCATCACTCTCTGTGCCACGTTTGTGCACAACTGTGCGACACTAGACAAAAATTAAAAACTAGGGACTAAATTACATCATTAACAATTTCAGAGGGGCTGCACCAGACCCTCTTTCTCTGTCAACTACTGAACATAAAGGAATATATTTTAAAAAGAAAATATGAATGTTTGCAAAATCCTGTTACAAACACGACCTGAAATTTAGAACTGATTACAAGATAAAGTCCTCAGCTTGTTTTGCGGGAACATCACAAACAAGGTCACTGATCTAAAGTCCAAATAAACTAGGAAAAGGTTTCTGTCTCACAATTATACTCAAGTTACCTTCTGGTTAACAACTTTATTATAGTATTTCCTTTTAAATTCACTCAAGACAAAAAAGACAACAGAGACAATGGTCCAGGAAGGAATGCACACCCTGGGCTGCGGCACAGACTCTCCTCGTGATGGGAATTGTGCTCTTGGTTCAGCAATAAGTGAAGGAAAAAGATCTTGCCCTTTTGAAGTTCTGAGGGAGGGGCAGGGCGTCCACATTAGTAGGGTGGATTGGAAATGCTTTCACTGGGATGCTTCCAGGTTGGAATGCTCTTCCAGTCACCACGGTGTCCATCTGGCGTGCAAGCAGAATAGAGAGACGTGTAAAGGCCACAGTGCATCAAAGCCGCCTGCAGCTGGGGCTGTTGCCCACCCACCCACCGTCTGTGTTTGGGGCAGAGGGACCCACCCCTTCAGGTTGATGAGAATGCTTACCTTCCCACAATGCCAATCTACATCAAAATTAACCCCGAAACCGGAAGCCAAAAATGCTAGAGCACGCAGGGAGGGGCAGGGTTGCTCCGTTACCTGCTGGCATTAGTTCCAGATCTTGAGGAAACTGTCCCAGGATCCCGTAGCCACAGCCATCCCATCGTCGGTCACGCCCAGGCAGCTGACGCGATTGTCATGCCCGGCCAGGACGCCTGGAAACAAATGGCCACAGTCACCCCAGGGCCCAGACCTGTGCCACCCGGGGGTGACGGGACACTGTGAGGGCTGGGCAGCAGGTCCCTGTGATGCCTCATGGCTAGGAGGAGGCACCAGGAGGGAGACAGTGCCTGTTCAGGGGGAATTCAACGGAAGCCCACCCTCCTGCCGTCCAGGTGAGGAAGGGTCTTTTAGAAGCAACATGGACATGCCTTTGTGGGCGGAGACTCCTGGAGCCCCTGGTCTAAGTGTGTCAGGGTGATGACACACACATGACTAAAAGGCACAGGCACGCACGACCAGTGAGCCGGGGCCTCCCACACCAGCTCCTAAGTGTCATCAAGTAGGAGCTTGAATAGAAGACAGAAGAGAAATGACAGTAAATACCCAAAGCATGCCAATCTTGGGGCAGTAGAAAGCCAGGCAGTGGCCGCAGACTGTCCTTTGTGTGTCTGTGACCCTGGGGGCCTGGCACAGGGCACAGATGCGGAGACGAGGGCCACTGGGCAGCACAGCGGCCCCACGCTGAGACGTGGCCTCCACAGCACTCAAAAGGCTGTGCCTGGAAAGCCCCAGGCCGAACATTCCCACCCTTGCAGAGGCACCTGAGGGCTGCTCTCTGAGCGCTCCCCAGCCCCGCACTCATGTCACAGCTGAGGAGGGACCAGCCAGCTGCACGGAGCGCCCACGACCCAGGTGGAGAGGACACTACCCAGAGTATGAAGCTACAACCCACAGGACCCAAGTATGCTCCCTTCCCCCACCCTCCCAAGCCCTGACCCAAAGAGCTGGAAGATTCTCAGTATCAATTCAATCACCTGAATGTCCATACTTAATACACCAGTTCTCATCCTTTGCACAACGGTGTCTTCATACACCTGACTTTGAACCTCGGACTTTATGCTCTCCTGGGTTACGCCTGCCTGACTCTGCTCCACACTTAAGAGCAGATTCCAGCCATGTGCTGGGGCACACTGTGCAGTGCACCCTCTACTGCCTCCCGTAGCTGTCCATGTGCACCTCACAGGCATGTGGGAGAAGGGTTGGCGCTGCGCATTCCATACACGGGACGGCCAGGGCAGGGGTGCAGTCGCTGTCTCTCGTCTCGCCTCTGGGTCCTGCCATGAGGCCTGGCAGATGCCCGCCACACAGCACCTTTCTTACCAGTCCAGCTGAGACAGACCTCAGCATCTCAGCTTCCACGAGTGCATCCATCCTGAGACAGGAGCCAAGTGCCCCACAGCCACCTACCTGCCCTGTCGGCTTTGAGTGCGTCCCACACGTTGCAATTGAAGTCGTCATACCCGGCGAGGAGGAGGCGGCCACTCTTGGAGAAGGAGACGGAGGTGATCCCGCAGATGATATTGTCATGGGAGTACGTCATGAGCTCCTGATCCGCACGCAGGTCGAACAGCCTGCAGGTGGCGTCGTCAGAGCCAGTGGCAAATGCATTGCCGTTGGGGAAGAACTAGGAAGAGAAAGCACACCGACAGTATGCAAAGGCACAAAACCAGGGCCAGAAACACGACTGCTGAGCAGCAGCAGGGCTGCTGCCGTCATGGAGAGAGCAACTGCGGGCTGGCCCAGGAGGACGGAGACGCCACACCTCCCTGGGAGCCGGGGGCCCGGGAACCGAGTGTGTGGGCCTGTGCGGCAGGAGCATGCGGCTCTCGGACACTGGCTGTCTTCCCCAGAGTAGGTGTCACACCATTATTAATCTCCCAGGAGATGCGGGGAGGTGCGGCCCTGGCCGGGCTGTGCCTCCGTGTGGCCGCAGCCACAGTCAGGCTCACCTCATGGAGGAGGGTGGGGAGGAGACCCCTGCCCAACCAAGCAGACATCTCCTCACAAGACAAGGCCCCTCAAACCAGAGCTATGGAGAAGGGGGGAGGCCCCTTCAACTGGCTGTGCCCGACTGGAGTGGGACTGGGGGGTGCCTGAGAGGAGGTTCCAGCTCGAGGTTTGGCCTTGCCCAGAGGGGTCCTGACTGGGCAGGTCCTCCGGCTGGCGCGAAGCCCTGTGGACGCTAATCACTGGTCTGCCAGGACTGCAAGCAGGGCCCAGTACACCTTGGCCACATCACCAGTGTTTGAGATGAATGTTCAGGACAGAATTATGGGCTTCGCAAGAACAGATCACATCACACCTCACCTTCCTACCAACAGGGACATTTTCTGTAAATTAGGTTGTATTTGTATAGAAAAGAGAACATCTAATCCTCAAAACATTTCAGGACCTAACAGTGTGCACTGCCATTCACAAGAAGCCATCTGACTCGCTGTGACGGTGAAGGCCCCGACTCACACAGATGGCATTGATGTCAGACTCGTGGCCGGTGAACGTCTGCCGGCACATCCCTTCTCGCACGTCCCAGAGCTTGGCTGAAGCATCACAAGCACCAGAGACAAACAGCCTGGTGTCGGGGGCGAGAGAGAGGCTCATGACATCCCCGGTGTGGCCGGTGAATGTGGTGGTCTGCTGGCCGGTCTCGATGTCCCACAGGGCACTGAGGGAGGAGACACGAGAGCCGGTCACCCACTCCCGCAGGCCAAGTGACCACCGCGCCCCCACCACCCTCACCCCCGCCTGGGCCACAGCAAACCTCTGCGTTTTTGCTTAACACGAATCTGAGTCCTGTAATGTGACTTGTTAGGAAGGAAAACAAAGCAAATGAAACAGACCAGCACGAGGCCACAGTTTCAGGGTGACTGTGGCCTGTCCACCAATTCAACCGCCAACAAAGAAGGAGCCTGTGTGCCTCTGAGGCAGGGACACTCAGAGCCTGTGCCACACACTTGGACCCCATGTGGCTCACAGGCAGCAGGAAGACCCAGATGGGGCAAGAACATGCTTCATCTGCAGTGCCAGCCCCATACCTCCTGGGGCCACCGGCTAGGGCAGAGACAACACCAGCTAACAAATGGCTCTAAGTGACGCCAGGCCCACACCCCTCCTTGAAGTCACTGGCAGGAGATGGGCACATGGCCCTCAGCTGTCGGGGTAAGCAGAGCACATGTGCTCTGTGCTGTGACCCCAGAGAGTGGTATGGACACCGCTAGTCCCCTTCAGCCTCACAGGAAACGCACATTGCAAATCCAGCCAGACTGTTTCAGCAGAAGCTGCCCAGGGGGCTTCCTTCTAGGGCTGAGTGAGGAACCACAGAAATGGGGCAAGACATTTCCAGGCTGAAAAGAATTCTCCAAGAAATGAAAAAGCTTAAAAAAAAAATCTTAGAATAAATTCTTTCAAAAATTGAGTGTCGATATAAAATTTACACAAAAAGGACACCTTATAAAACAGGACAAGTTGGGTAAGGGCCAGAACCTGGCAGGGGCATGCCCCACCCTTGAGGGACGCAGCATTGTGCTGAGGCCCAGCCAGCCTGCTCCGGGCCACACAGTACGCCTCAGACACCAGGAGGGAGAGTTCAAGTCTCAAATGATGCATAAGGTAACTAACCACCTGGTCCTGCAAGTTATATGCTTTGGTGCCCCAGATGAAAATAACCCAGTGTCCACTTCAGTGGGTTTCCATCTACAAGTAGGCGAGAGCTCTGAGGAGCAAGCTGTTTGACATGGTCCACCAGCAGCTGTGCTGTGCTCAGCACCCGCAGGGACAGGGCACTCCCTAAGAGAACTGCAGCACACAGCCCCCAACGGCGCTGGCCTGTCCCCCCACAGAACAAGGTGCAGGGGAGGAAGCAAACAGGTGTTTCCCACAGCACTGTGGGTTCAGGGCCCATCAGTCGGTTCTCAGCCACTCCAATTTACACTTTGAGCTTTAATATCTATGAGAGACATACTGGGCTCGTGCATCACTCACTGCACATGTTTGAAGTCTCAGGGCTGTTTCAAATTAAAGACGGCCCAGCTAATGCCAAGAACCTTATTTTCTGTACGTCGGGAGCTGTGAGTGAGGCCAGTGGCATGCAAGACACATGGGGCTCAGGTACTCACCAGGTGGTGTCCCCAGAGCTGGTAACGATCTGATTGTCATCCAGGAAACGACAGCAGGACAGGTACCCTGGAAAGATCCAGACGATGACCTCAGGCTACACTACCCTGACGCACCTGCCCTACCTGGTGTGCGCTTAGGGCGTCAGGCAGGGCAGTTAGCCCACTGGCTGGGAGGAAGCTAGGTGGGGAGGCAGGCAGAAGGGCCCACATAGCCTTCCCGGCTAGCCCTGCGGGGTGCTGGGGGCAGGGCCTCCTTGGCCTTCTGTAGGAATGCCCCGGGGCTCCCTCCCCACCCCTCCTCTCATCACAACTTTACACCAGCAGTGGTAGCACTCAGCCGGGAGTAAGGGAGCTCACCCCGGGCAGAAGGAAAGAGAGCAAAGAACGCAGTGAAGATGTCTGCAGAGGCCCCGCACGCTGCAGGGGGCCTGGCCAGCACCGCACATGGGCGCCAAGCAGCCCCGGGCCCAAGCGGAATGGAGACGGCAGTGTGGTGGGCTTCGGCCAGGTGGCCTGGGGCTGCTGCCTGCCCTCCCACCCCATGGGTGCTGCAGAGCTGCGGCCAGGAGATAGCAGGCCCGCTGTGGGGCCCAGGCCTGGGCCACTTCTGGACCGAGGAAAGGTACAGCAAAAACCCAGCTTCATGCACCTGCCCATTAGGGTGTACTGGGTTGGATCTGTGTCCCGAAATGTAGGCGTCTGCTTCAGCAGAAGTGATCTGAGAGCTGCGAGTGCAGGTGAGCAGAGCTATGCCCTAAAGGTGTGCCCAGCGGGCTACCCAGGAGCTCAGCTGGCGGGCAGCCGACGCGAGGCCCAGCTACACTGCAACTCCCGTGAGGGGCCAGCACGCCCGTCGGGACTGCGCTCCTTGGCCCTTCTTGCAGTGCACATCAGAGCCACGTGCGATGCTGCGAGTCCCAAACCAATGCTAAGGACACGCGGAGGCGAACCACGGCAGGGCTCCGATGCGGAAAGTGTAAGAACACAGGGAAAACAAGACACTCAGCTAACGAGTGTCACCAAGAGGGCTCCCACAGGAAAACATACTTGACATGAACACCCCAAAATATGAGCTGTGAGGAGTGAGGAGTGAGGAGTGGCACGAGGCTGTTGGGGCCCCTGCCCCCTGGGTGCTGAGGGTGCCTGTCCCCAGGAGGAGGGGCCTGGGGTGGGGCTGGGATAGCCTTCGGTGCTCGGTGTCTGTGTGGTTTGTACTTTCAAAGTATGTACACGAATGTTACTTTTAATCAAAATCAGGGTTACTGGCTCATAATCTTGTAACTCATCTTTTTGGTCCTTCTGTGTTTATACTGAGGGAAAAAGAAGATAACCAGGTAAATATTGTTTTTTTACAAAAAAAATTTCTTCTCCCATGAAGGAAAAATGGAAGCCAACTTTTTTTTTTTGCATTTCTCCATTTAAGTAACACATCTGGCTTGGCATGGAAGCCAACTTTTTAGTTAGGTTAACAAACAAATACTGAGCATCAATGCTCAATAGCACCGTGACAGGGCCCATCACACACAGACTGTGGCCTCTCCAGCCTAACGGGCCTGGTGGATGGTGCAGATGGGCACATGTGCACCAAGCATCCCTATGTGGCCAACTTGTATGAGGGCCCAGCAGCCTCATGTGCACGGAGTCTAGGAGATCCCATGCCCCAGGAAAGCTGTAAGAGGTCGTCCTGGGAAGCAGGACAGTGGCTTCAGTGTGCAGGCCTTGGCCTCAGAAATACCTGGGTTCAGTCAGTACCTGGGTGCCGGCAGCTGCCAGCAGCACCAGCGCCTGAAGCTCCCATGAGCCCCATGCCCCACGGTGACTGGGCTGGGGGTGCAGGGTCGTCTGTGCTCGAGACGAGCTGGGAGGCACTGTCTTTGCTACTGCTGAAGGGTGAAAAGATCCCCAGGAGCTGTGTGTGTGCTATGGGGAGGTCACCTCAGGAGCAGACACCCCCAAGTGTGGGGGGCTGCAAGGGGGCCAGCCCAGCTGTGCTGTTGGCTTTCAGAGCCTGCAGAGAGGCAGCCCCACCAGAGGGGGCCTGCCGCATCACAGCCCAAGGACAGCAGCGGCAGGGTGCACGGGGGCCGTCCTGCTGCGGGCGTGGGGCTGCATGGGTGGTTAAGAGAACAGACGGCGGTAAGTGAGCAGGGAAGACAGGCACTCGGGCCACGGACCCCAGGGAAGGCGGAGGCGCTGTCAGGCGGAGTCCCACAAAGGCGGGACGTCCTGGCGGCAAGGTGCCACCCTGGGGCTGGGGCCCGAGCGGCAGACACGCTTGCTTCTCTGCTTGGGCCGGCTGCTGACCCACGGGGCCGACGTGTGCAGAGGTGGGACGGAGCACCGGAGTGCCAATGGCCCAGCTAAGGAGACTTATCCCCAGACCACGGCTCCAGGGGCCGGAGAATCACTTCTCCACAGAATGTTTCCTGCAACAACGTATCTACTGGTGACAAACCAGAAAATGCCTAAAATGTCCAACAGGGACAAATTAGTGCGTTGTACAATGGTACTCTTTGCCACTTTAAAGACAACACTGTAGTTCTGGGTGAGATTGTAGGTTAAAAACACAAAGGAAGATCACCAAGTTATTTCTCCAATTTCCAGTGAACATATGTGGGCAGTTTTTCGCCCTGGCCCACACCTTGGACAGCACGGGGCACCAGGCCAGGTGTCGCGCCAGGCAGCGGGGGTGGGGGTGGGTGGGGGGGTGAGGTCCAGCCCCAGACTCGCCTGGGCTGCACAGGTGGCTCCAGTGGGACCAGAGCAACATCCCGCTGCGGCCTCTGTTCTCGGGTGGGAGGGGGCTTTCAGCCTGGAAGTGGGATGTGTGCAGAGTGGCAAGTGAGATGAGGGCTGGAGAGCATGTGCTTCAAGAAGTTTGGTGAAAAAGAAACGAGCTAATGATGTCCATGAAGATCTGAAAGGGGGAAATGCCAAAGAGTTTCACTAGGAGGAAGTGTCAAAGCTAAATGATGGACTCCAAGGAACACGTGGATGGACTAGAAGGGTCTGTGGACCCACCCTCCAGGTGGCAGGGGTTCTGGCAGAGCTCACCACCACCAATCCAGGCAGCTGGTCGGGGTGGGTATGGAAGCCACTGGAGCAAAGGCGGGCATAGCCAGGACTCGTGGTGACCACAGGAAAGGTGGGGCTGCAAGGGGGCTCAGCTGGTCAGGTGAACAGGAGGCTCCAGGGCCATCCAGAGGGGAGCCAGGGCAGGCACATGCCCCATCCAGAACGGCCTGGGGAGCCCCACACCAGCAAGAGGCCAGCGGCCAAACCCCAATGACAGTTGTGATATCATTACATGAGCAGGAGGATCGTAAGTTTCCCAGACTGTGACCACAAAAAGTCAAACAGACACCATTTAACTAACAGCCAAGAACAGATGCCCACGAGCAGCCCAGCTGTAGTGCCTGGAGTTAAGGGGGACACCTTTCCTGCCACAGCCTATTTGTTGGCGCCTGTCAGAAATACAGTCATCCGTGGGTGATGGGCCCAACCCACCACACGTGCATGTGGGTGTGACATTCAGCCTCTGGCTGCAGAACAAGCTGCCCCTAGAGAACGAGTCTGTAGCCGCCACGGTGGATTCTGGCAGGGACGAAAGGCAGTCAGTTCCTGAACAACTATGCCATGCTACACCCAGGAAAACTCTGGCTAAACTCTTAATAAGAATGTTTATGCCTCTGTGACCACGCTGACTAGAATGATCTCAGGAAGGAAGTGTGTCTACAACTGCCATGTGAGGCTAAGGAAAGGACACATATTGACTTTTCATTAACCCGTAGGGACATGCTCCAAGAATAATCTGTGACACTAGGCTTGATACAACTGTCAGAAATGTGTTTTTAGGGAATTACTAACTCCTCAAATATAATCTAATGCCTTTGTAATTACTATTTTCACTAGAAGAGCACTTGGGAAGTTTTATGCATAATACATATATAATAATGATAATGATAATAATAATAATAATAATAATAGTAGTGGTAGTAGTAGTAGTCGTAATAATTGTTCCCCCTCTATCACTGGCATTCATCCCATTAACCACCTCCAGAGGGCATCCTTTACTTTGTAAGACAGAATCTTAAAATGCAAAACACCAAGACAGGAAGAAGGTCATCTGACATTTCTCTCTGAAATACTGCTAACAGTCTCCAGGCTGTATGGCCCACTCCAGAGAAGTCTGTCTGCCTCACGCAGGCCCTTCCCCTTTAGGGGAGCTCGTGACAACAGTGACCTGGGACTGATCGCCAAGAGCCTCATTCCAGATGCTGACACTGTAGGCAATTCAGTCTTCGTGATGAGCAACGCAGCTATGAAGGACTCCGCCTGCCGCGGGACAGCACTAAGGTGGGTTTTCTGTGCAGCTGAGTCTCTGAGATCCCACAAAAACACTGCCCAACACCACCTCGACAAAGAGTTCTCATCTTAATCCTCAGCCAGAGAGAAGATGCGTGAGCGATGAACCCTAATCAAATGGATGTGTGGGAGGCCGGAGACAAGACAAAGACAGCATGTCCTCAACTGTGTCTCAAACTCACTAACTGTTCACACCTTTACCCTCTGACTAAGCCAATAAACTGAAATAATATCATAAAAAGCTAAGTAACCCAAAAGAAGGCAGTTAAGGAGAGCAAGCGGTGAGGTGGTGGAGCTAACCCGTCTGTGCAAACATCAGAGGAAACAGAAGTGAGCACAGCCAATTTGAAAGGCAGAACCCTTTAGAATGGGGACCCAGCTACACACTGCCTACATGGAAGTCTTAATAAAGGCAGTCAGGTGGAAAGAAAATGGGCGGGAGAGAGTACACCGTGCAGCCAGCCAGCCTGTGAAGACAGGAGCGGAGGTACTGCCACCAGATAAGGTAGACTTCATGACCAAGAGTAAGCCGAGAGAGAAAGAAGGGCTTTTCACTGTGGTAAGAGGGTCAATTCATCAGAAAAATACAACAACTATACATGTTTATATTTGTACTAACAGGGCTCAAAATGCAAGAAGCAAAAATTGACAGGATAAAAGGGAGAAATAGATAAATTCACAATCAGAGAGTTCAACATCTCTCTCTCTTCAATTCACATTCACACGAGAAGTGAACCGTGTCCAAAGCCTTGCTCTCATCAGCACCCTGAGAATGCGGCCAAGAAAGTGCAGCGAGGCCTGGGTTTGAAGCGCCCACCGCAAGGTCACCGTGACACACCATTTGCTCCCTTAAAAACAAATCTTAATAAGCTTAAAAGAATTGAAATGATACCAAGTATGTTCTCTGGACATAATGGCACTGAATTAGAAATCAGTAATTAGTTATCAAAAAAACTTCAGATACTTGAAAATGAAACATACTTCTAAACAACCCATCAGTCAAACAAGTAATTAAAAGGCTATTAAAAATATTTTATGCTGAATGATGACATAACTATAGCCATGCATACAGGGAAACTTAGAGCTTTAAGTGCTTACACTGGGGAAAAAGTGAAAGGTCAAAGGTTCCACCTTAAGAAGCTAGAAAACTAAGAAGCAAGCAATCCCAAAGCAGGCAGAAGGCGGGAACAATGCAGAACAGAAATCAATGGGTTACAGGAGTGTATTTGTAGAAGAATATACTCTTAACTGGACAAAATTATTTAAACAGATTGCTCGACTGCAGTCAGAACAGTTATTATTTACTCTATTAATTTTGATAGTTTCTTTGGTTGCATATGAACTGTGAGCCTAGGAGGGTGTAATTTTGAGGACTGAGAATGTAACCACAGAAGTAAAATACTAGGATGAGACCCTCCTTCTCAGAAACACTGTGCGTTTCATTATGATTTGTAACTGTCACAGGTGAACTAAACTCGGCAAAATAATGCATCCGTCCACACTTACAGCTGGCTGTGCTCCAAAGACCCTAACAGCCTACAGGCTCTCTTCTGCTTCCTTTTCAACAGGAGTGCTCGTTGGCATGAAGTGTGTCAAGATGATCAGCAGGGACATATATGCACCTATGTACACACACGCAAACTATGTCGATATAAAAAAAGAAAGGTGGCTGCCAAATATTAAGGGGGTGACCTCAGTATCTGACGCCCTTGAAAATGGGATAAGACGGAGTGATGTCCAAAGATTTCTCACTTGTAAAGGCCTATTAAGGCCTGCCTTTGACTTCTTTTTCAGAGTACTTTATGGCCATTATTGCAACCAATCTCATTAGATAATTACTGTGAAGATGTGAGTGTCCAAAGCATACAATGCACACCAGGTAAATAGCTTCTACAAGACTGAGGTCACAGATGAGAATGTGTACCTGTGTGTCCAGCCAGTTCACGACTCACACGCACATTCCCTTCGCGAGTTTTCAGATTGTAAATGGAGCAAATGTTATCCAGGCCACCACAGGCCACATAGTTGCCAGAAGGGGCATATGCACAGGTCATGACCCACGAGGAACGCAGAGGGATGGCATGGACCTAAATGAGAGAACACAGACGAAGCAAACATACTCAAGCTCAAACTTGTTAATTTCTGATACTGATTTTATTTCTAGTCCTCAGCTCCCACTGCATAGAAGGGACAAAGCACAGTAACAACCAAAATCATTTTAGTAATAATTTAATTAGAAATCAAGCCCTGCATGCCAGTTTTATTGAAGTTGCAACTCACAGTTCTGTGGGCACCTAAGTAAAAATGTAGCTTCCTAACTGGAATTATACATTAAGAGGAAAACATTTACTCGGTCTATCTAAATGGTTATAAATTCATTACAAAACAAAGTATTTTTACTGCAGAAAGATAAACTTCAGGTACTGTGTAACTCATCTTACCACATACCTGTAGATATGTGCTTTAGACGGATATGTTGTAAATACTACAGAACTTCATACACTTAATATTTTCCAGTAAAATACAACTGAATTTGATCTTTTATGTATGCTTGGACTAATGATAGTTTTTCATTCAACACAACTCAGATTACATTTTGTAAAGATTAAATTTATACTTCAAAATACAATGTCTTTTAGGTTATCTCTTGAAAAAACTAGTAACTAAATGAAAAGCTATATTTCTGCATTTTTAAATAAAATATGAAACTCCCCAGACTGAGCTAAAGTTAGGGTCCTGGTCTCCTGCAAACATCAGGGAGGAGCTACCTCTCACCTGCTCGGCGAGGGGATGGCAACCCACAGTCAAGGAGATGAGTGACGCGCTAGCCCGTGACGCAGCTTCTATCTGACCTACACCACCTTATGCTAAAGATGAAGTTCGCAGTGATCCCCCTCCCTCTCCTGTGTCAAAAGATTTACATAAGTGAATCCAGAGTTTAAAAACCCACCTTTTCCAAATGGTTTTCAGGGAAGGGATTCTGAGCCCCTACCTTGTTTGTGGTGTAGCTGTCCCAGATGATAAGTTTACCGTCCTGTGAGGCGCTAACTAGAAGCCTGGAGGGAGGATACAAAAGCAGACCTGTCAATACAAGTGACACCTGAAAACTAAAGTCCAGGGACTTTGAGCATTACATGTGCTTGAGACAAAGCATGCTTATTTATAAACAAACAAACAAAAAGCTCTGTTAGGCCAACTTTTGACAGCATGAAAAGGGACTCCCACAGGTAACAGTGCAGAGTGAAGGTCGGATCGCCGAAGCCACCCCACTGCTCAGCTGACAGGTCAGCTCGCCAAAACTGCTTCTGTTTACTTTCTGTTCATTATAAATCAATAGGCATATAGGTCTTTCTAGAGCCAAAGCTTGCAGAAAATATTTAGAATATAATTTTCTGTTGTGTCTGACACAAAGTCTACATGCAAAGGAATAATAAGCTTTTAGATATTCCAAATTTGAGACATTTTTCACCAAAAAAAGAAAAAAAACTGGGGTCCTGGTCTCCTACAAACATTAGGGAGGGTACCTCCCACTTGCTCTGTGAGGGGATGGCAACCTACAGGATGACTGCCTGGCCGAGTAGAGGGGATGAAGTCCTGCATTTTTTCATGACGTATCTTCTTGCCACTGGCAACCGTGCTGGTAAGTCTGGGAACTGTGCTTCTATCTGCAGAACCGAGGCGGGACACTGCAGAGCTGAAGTGGACCAGGGGCAAAGGGACTGTAGGGGAGAGTGAATTTCAGGGCCACAGCTGCTCAGGTCTCTTAAGGAAAGCTGTCCCTCAGAAAGCTGCCATCTTCGAGGAATGGTGAGAAAGCTCTGGTCAGTTCTATGCAGACACATGTCCCCATGGCAAACAATGACAGGTCTCATCACACCGCGTGCCTGACACACACTCCGTGACAAGGAGTCAACGGCGGATCTGGCGAGGAGGGAGAACACTGCTGTGAAGTCCACTGCAGACCTAAGCTAAGTGCGGGCTCTGATCCTATTATTTTTCAGATGCCATTTCTTCAATTCCTGCATCTGGGTTCAAGTTGTAACCATACTAGGCACCTAAAAGTCTTTCCACATAATGGAGTAAGGTTCACTCTGCTGCTCTACTTGTGTCCGGCCCTTCCAAGCACAGGCGTCGAACATAGCATCAGAGCCGATGTACGGAAGCTCTCCCTCTAGGAGGGTCACCTTTAGGAAGGTCTCCTGCTCAGAGAGCTTAGTAGTTGCTGACTTGGGGCTAGAGAAATGTTAAGCTGTCTGCTGATCCGCCAGAAGGTGAGAGAAGACACCCCTCTTAATCCCAGACAGGATAATGAACTGGGTTCACTCCGCCTCTTAGAGCTTTCAGCCGCTCACAGATCAGTTATGATGAGGTGCCACCCATACAGGACACAGAGGCAAAAGCCAGGGAGGAAGTCACGGGCTGCAGGACACTGAAAACAGAGGCCAATAGGGGTCCAGATGCACATGCCCTGGCCCTTCACTCACTCAGAGGAAGGAGGGCTCTCCAGCCTAGCTGGTTGAGTTGCGTTTCTCTCAGTTATAAGAAGCCCTCAGCAGACTTTAGAATTGACTCGTGTGACTGAAAGAGACTCAAATGTTGTAAAAACTAGAATTTAAGTATAAATGAATACATTATAATACACTGATATACCATATCACCGATGCATCCTCAACATACACCAACACGTGCATGCCACCACCTCTCACTGTGGGCCTCCTGTAGTTCTCAAAGTGCACGGTCTGAGAGCGGCTGTGACTCACACAGCTCTGACAAAGGAATGAGCATTCACAGATTGGAGCCTGAAGCATGAGAAATAAAACTCAGCGTGACAGCTTTTGCTTATGACAGCAGGAAATACGAAGATGGCTTAGGCAAAATGTACATGCACAACTTTAAAACACTTTGGACTCTGAAGAGGCAAAAATTTGGCTATCCAGAAAACACGCCTATCTGGAAAAAAAGATCTCTGAAAGGCTCTAGATAGCAAAGGTCCTCCCTGATACCATCCTCTCTTTTGTTTACGGTGGTAAAACAGAGCCCCCATGTCAGGGCATCAAGACACGACTGCCCGGTGCGAGGAGCAGCTTGAGACACTGACCATGCGCAAACCGCCCTGTCCAAGAAAGAGGAGGCGGCCAACACAAACCCCGCCGGCCTCCCATGGAGCCCCAGGCTGCCCTTTCTTTAGGGGGACTGCGCCTGATCTGGTGCTGTTCGTTCACGCCCTGTGGCTTTTAAAGCACACTTCACGCCCAACCCACATGGACGTGAAGACTTGCACGTGGTGATCGGGAACCCTGGCTTGGAACCAGCACATGCCCTCCACCTCACCCTGGGCCTTCTCCTCATCTCCAGTGCTCCAGCCACACACCTGCCTTAGCGCCTTGAACACAGCTGCCTGGAGCCCCCATTCACTCTCCAGGGCACAAGGGACACGTCACCCCCACGAGAAGCCTTCCAGACTCGCCAGCTACAGCATCACTTAAGGAGCCAAGCCAGCTATGAGGCTGAGCACCGGGTCAGGGCGGGCCTGGGCCCAGCTACAATCCTAGTCAGGACGCCGATCTGCAGACGGAGGAAAAGCCTCAGAGCTAATACACACTGTTTTGTTACCATCTACTTTTGATAATAATTCTATGGTGGACTGATTAGTAAGGGCAGTTTTCTTTCTTTAATTCTTTCTGATTACTGCCATCATTAAAGTGCTCTAAGTCAGCTCTCATTTGCATTTGGGATTGTATGGGACACTGTACAGAACAAACTAAAGAGAGTATTTTGTCCCATAGCTGTTTACACTCTAAAGCAGACAATTCCAGGAACAAAGAGAAAACCACGCAGAAAATTCCTGACAATTAAAACACACACACAAAAAATGCTACTCAAAAAAGACACCTGAAGAATCAAATTAGGTATCTGAAAGAACATGTTGTCACAAAGTCACACTGCCTTCATTTAGCTACTTGGGTGTAGAAGAGGAGAGATATATTTTCCAGAAGCCTGTCAAGGAGCAGGAAATGAGTGCTGAGCAGGTACACGTCCATGAAAAGGGGGTAAGGGGGCTGAGGAGCCCTGCAGACAGAGGGGAGCTCTGCCTGGAGGAAAAGCAGCTCCACCAAGGGGCGGGATTTAAAGTAGAAACAATGAGCCCATGAAGCGAACTTTCTCTTTAGGACAGCAGATAAAGGAAGGTGGGAACAGGCCAGGGGAGGGAATGGTGACAGCAGTGGGGACACATGTTCTTGTGTGTCTGACACAGGCTCCAAAAAGGAAGCCAGCAGCAGACCCATGCTCTGCACACGCTGTCCCCCCAAACCCGCACAGGCTGGGGTTTGGTGACCGCTGAGCCAGGGCCCTGAAGCACAAGAGGGTATGTATGAGCCGAGAAGCTGTGTGGACAGCTGGAAAGGCAAGGAGCCACAGCAGAGGGGGCAGGTAACTCCCAAGGCCACAGAGGTGCTGTGCAGAGGAGCTGGGAGAACAAGGGTGGGGAGGAAAAGCAGGGCTAAGTGAGCAGCCTCCTGGGGCAGGAGCTCATCACCAGCCGGGATGGGTAGAGGGAGGAACGCCTGTGCACGTGCACCTGTGGCTGCACACCTGTGGCCACACACTGTGCATATATACCTGTGCACGCACACCTGTGGATGCCACCCTAGCCAGCCCAGAGTGCTGAGGCAACTTCTTTTTTTTCTTTACACATCACAGCAAATGAGTTCAGATCACTTTTCCCAAAAAAACAGAACAATCCTTAAATGCGTCAAGCACTGTTTAGCTCACGCCCACACACCTGGAATCCGTGCCCCAATGCATGGCATAAATTTTGGCCAAGTGCCCCCTCAGCGTTCTCCTGGTGCGCATCTGGATTCTTCCCACTGGGTCGATGTTGTTTGTGATCTTAAAAATAAAACTACAAATTAATATTCTGGGACAAAAAGGTAGCCCCTGAGGTCTGTTCTCCTTCATGTCCACCATCCTTGCCAAGGTCCTGCCACTCACTGGCTGTGTGTGTCCACCCCATGCCTGCCATCACCCAGGCAGCTCTTCGCCTTCGCCGTGCCTGCCCCTGCGCACCCCCACCTCCCCTCCTCTCATCAAGGCCACTGCTCCCCCTTCTCTCCAGGACCTGCCTCTCCCCTCACCTCTAGGGCAGGTGTGCAGTGGGGCCCACCCCCAGCAGCACTCCCACTGTCCCCGCCTTCTCACTAGCTGTCCATCCAGGCCCAGCTCCACCTACCCCTCAGGCCTTGGGGATCCACTTCAGCACAAGCAAGTCCCCGCCCCACGCTGATGCCCGCTCATGGTGCGCAGGCTCTGCGCTACTCTGGACGGTTGTTAGAATCTACTCCACACCACTGCAGCTTTAGGGCACAGGGCTGTAGGTGGAAACCTGCTAGCTCACGCCCACAGCTAAAAAGCTGATACCCAAGACTTTGGGCTGACAAATGGAATTAAGTGAATAAATAACTGGGTTTAAAACCTGTGGAGTCCAAGGGTACCTGAGAACTCAAACTGAGGTAATTCTATGCAGAACAATTTTTCTTTAACTTACTTTTTAAACCCAATGAAAGCACATTCCCCTAAAGCACCAAGATAATGTCTTCAGTGTCAGTGTATTTTTTTTTCACATTTCTGTTCAATTCTTTGAATGAAAAAATATTTTTAAGAAGTAAATTCACTGTTTTAAAGTGTACAATTCAGTAGTATTTAATCTATTTACACTGTTGTGTAACTAACCCCTCTGGTTCCAGAACATCCCATCACCCCAAGAGGAAACCCCCTAGTCGCAAGCAGGCACTCCCCATTCCGGACCCAGCCCCCAGCAGCCACTTGGCTTTCTGCCTCCGGGGCTCTGCCTGCTCTGCATGGGACGGCAAGGAACCACGGGCCATCCGACCCTTCGCGTCTGGCCCGCCACCGGGCGGTGTTTCCGAGGCCCCTCCTGCTGCGGTGCGGCTACGGGCCATCCCGTGGTGGAGCGACAGTCACACCCTACTGCACACACAGAACAGGCCCCGCCCGCCTGCAGGCAGGGTGCTGGCTGCTCCCACCCCTGGCGGCTGGGGATGTGCACCAGTTAGCGGGATTTCTGGGTGAGTGCCTAGAAGCAGAATTGCTGGGTCTTGATTTACGTTTAACTTTTTGAGGATCTGCCAAACTGCAATAGAAACGAAAGCTCTGAGGCAGACTTTGAAGGAAAGGAGCTTCAAAATACATTATTTTAAGACTGTAATATTTTACAACTCTGATGTCTGTAATAGTAAGTAATGATTTAAGGCTTCTGAGGTATTTATTCTTCATCTAAAAAAACCAAGTCTAGCGTGAGAATGAATTCTGATAAACATGCCTCAAGCTTTTACATCCCCCCACGCAGAGGCAGAGAGGACCGGAGCAGAGCTCACCCCAGGGGTGCCAAGTGTAGGCACCACCACACACCAAGCTCTACGCCAGGCAAGCGGCTGTGTAAACCGGTTCTTACCTGAGAGAGAGTTGCATCTGCACACGCTTTTCTAGCATCCTAGGAAATAATGACAAAGAGGAAATTAGTAACATTTCAGAGCCATTCAGTCCTGGGTCCTCACACCTATCTCAGAGTCAAAGGGAAAGACAGAGTGCAGTATCCTGTCCTCCCCTCTGACACACACAGCCCAGGGCCATCTGCGGACTGTCCAGGCAGCTCAGGGTACTCCAGGTCACACGACACAGGACAAGTCACATGTAAGCACGTCCAAGGCCTGCACATCATCTCATCTAAGCATCCCAACCCCCTGCAACCCCAGGAACAAGCCCGATTTGGGAGGACCACACTGGAAGCGGGGTGCACAAGGCCTGCAGAGCAGGGCACTATCTCTTCTGTGCTGTCCCACAGACCCACATGCATGCATCTCACTCTAACAGCTCAGGAGCTGTGGGTGCTGAGGACCTCCCACCTGGACCTGCTAACTGAGGACTTCACTGTCAAGCCAAACACTTGCCAACACTAAACTCTATGGGACAGAGCAAAGCATCTGGAGCCAAGACAGTCAGATCCAGGGAAGACCTTCTGGCCGCTCTATCCAATTATCTGTTTCTCATCTATAAAGTGACCTTGCAAATCAGGTAAGAACTACAAAGGGATATACTAAAGCAAACTGAGATTTTTTTACTGTGTCTAAGTGATCAATTATTAGAAAATAAGTCTTGAAATCTTCATGTTATTTTCCACAAATGGAAAGCCATACATTATGAAGATGATACAACAGCTTTAAAAGGGCCAAAATTTGAGGGCAGGTATAATTTCAAAGGAAATTACAACAGTTTCTAGAAAAGAATCATTTTCCTTATGTAGTCATCTGACCACCTGCTCTCAGAATGGCCCTGGCCCCATGACAGTGTCTACATACACTGGAGTATGGGGGTACAGGGTGTTAGGGAAACACTCTTAGGGACAAAACGCCTCCCTGCTGATTAATTTTATTTCATGAAGCTAGTGGCAAGATCTGTCAACTGAGAAGATGGAAATATATTCAAAGAGATTGTTACTATATAAACGTACCAAAGATCTAGATTCCAAATTCAACTTTAATTAATCCTGTTAGTATTAGAAGGCATTCTTCTGAATTCTTAGGTAATTATGTAATTAAAACAAAAATTAGGTAACCAAGTATTTCTATGCCAGTACCTAAATTTGGGATAAGGAGCAAGTTGTGGGGGAGTCCTAGAGTAGCAAGCTTTCCATCTGAATCCTGTCTGCCAAGTGCTGGGTTTAATATTTACCTAAATACCAGCCTTGATATTATATATGGCTTTTAGTTTTAAAAAAGAATAACAAGAAATTCAGATGGCCAACAGACACATGATAAGATGCTCCACATCGCTAATCATCAGAGAAATGCAAATTAAAACCACACTGAGATATCACCTCACACCAGTTAGGATGGCCACCATCCAAAAGACAAACAATAACAAATGCTGGTGAGGATGTGGAGAAAGGGGAACCCTCCTACACTGCTGGTGGGAATGTAAGCTAGTTCAACCACTGTGGAAAGCAGTATGGACGTTCCTCAAAAAACTAAAAACCTAAAAATAGAAATACCATTTGACCCAGGAATTCCACTCCTAGGAATTTATCCTAAGAATACAGGATCCCAGATTCAAAAAGACATATACACCCCTATGTTTATTGCAACACTATTTACAATAGGCAAGAAATGGAAGCACCCTAAGTGTCCATCAGTAGATGAATGGATAAAGAAGATGTGGTACATACACACAATGGAAATATTATTCAGCCATAAGAAGAAAACTAATCCTACCATTTGCCACAACATGGATGGAGCTGGAGGGTATTATGCTCAGTGAAATAAGCCAGGTGAGGTGGAGAAAGACAAGGACCAAATGATTTCACTCCTCTGTGGAGTATGAGAACAAAGGAAAACTGAAGGAACAAAACAGCAGCAGAATCACAGAACCCAAGAATGGACTGACAGTTACCAAAGGGAAAGGGACTGGGGAGGGTGGCTGGGAAGGGAGGGAGGGATAAGGAGATTAAGGGGCATTATGATTAGCACGCATATTGTCGGGGGAGGGGGGGCCACGGGGAAGGCAGTATAGCACAAAGAAGGTAAGTAGTGACTCTGTAGCATCTTACTACGCTGATGGATGGTGACTGTAATGGGGTATGTGGCGGGGACTTGATAATGGGAGGACTCGAGTAACCACAATGTTGCTCATTTAATTGTCTATCAATGATACCTTAGAAAAAAGGAGAATAACAAGAGTTCTTTTTTAATGGAAAAAATAAACCATGAAACTTAAGCAACTTCATCTTGGTCAGTGTCCAAAGATTAACACAAATTTCATAATGTGCTGAATGACCCACACCAGTGGTCGTGGTATGTCAGCTCCTTGTCCTGTTTGGGTACTTGTCAAACACAGAGGAATGCACAGCTAGGCTGCACCCTCCTCTTCCCAGAAGCCCCCCCCGCTAGGCCCGGGTGTGGGGCAGCAGCGCTGGGGGCCTGTCCCGGGTGTCTTGCTCACCTGCACACGCTGGCACAGTCGCTCTTGGACAATGTGCACCAGCACATTTCTCAGAGCTCGTCCTGACCCTCAGTGAGCCCATGCATTTTAAGACAGGCCGTGTTTCATTCAGCGCCTGTCTGAGAACCCGTATTCCCTCACAAACATAATCAAAAGTAGGATGGGACAGTCCTTCGGGGTGTTTCAGTTTGAAAACAACCCAGGAGGAAGGCAGCCCTGCTAGGGTCACTCCCGTGCCATCCCACCACGCCCTGCATCCCTTAACAAGCACAGTTCCTTGGGTCTTTCAGAAAAAGGGTGTTTTACCCATATTTAAAAGAAAAGTCTTCCCTCCCCATCTGGCATAATGGGCTCAAACAGCTGCTGCCACCCGTGTTGTGCCAGGACACAGCACGGTGCCTGGCTTCAGAGACAAAGCCTGTGGGGACGGGTGTTGAGAGGGCTGTGTGCTGGGCTGCCCCCTGGGACAGTGAGCCGGGAGTCAGAGCCCCGTGAAACGCAGGAACACATGAGGTGGGCCATTCCATGCTGGACACACGGAATCCCCAGGACTTAGTACCAAAGTAAGGATGGAAAATTAGAAGGATTTATTAATTACATGTTTTTAGATATACTGGTTCAGGTACAGTTTGTTAAAAATTGGTTCTACCGTGTTTTTTTTTTTTTTTTTTAACTTTTAAAAATTCTGCATATGGCTCACAGGACAGCGCCACTGTCTGGGAGGAAGAGGACTCCCACATCCTACGGGGTAACCGGGACTAAAAAATGGGGAGAGATGCAGCACTGACTTCCAGCTTTCACTTTTTCCCCAAATTTGGATGTCTTTCACTTCTGCCATACAAACTTTCCTCATCTGCTATGAACAGAATCCACTATTTAGGAACAACTTGTGAACAACTGATAGTTGTTAGGATAACAAAATTCTTATTTCTATATTCTGGAGGGTCAACAGACATATACAAGTCTGATGGCAGCAAACCTGTCTGACACTAAGTCCCCCTCATTTTTGTTGAGCTTCAGATATTTTAAATGTAAAGATTTGAAATTCTTACAGTAAGAGAACATGTTTCCTTTTTGGCCATAGATCCCAGGTAACTGCACGATCTTTTCTGGAGTTCAATAAATGGTCGTCAGAATGGTGCCGGTGCTTCAGTCTCCAATGATCACCAGGCTCTGAACATCTAGCCAGCTATTCAAAAGGAAGTGACCAGGTTCCACCCTACAGTGGACTCAGGAAAAACCCTGGTGTTCAGCTATGTGATGTGAAACGATGGTCTGAGGGGCGGCTCAGAATCATGGACAAACCCAACCACCCATCGGAGAGCGAGCTCCTGCCCCCAGTGGACGCACGCCAGCACGCGGAGTGAGGCCGTGGCGCCCTGCCCAGGCTGCCTCGCCTCCTGCTCCCCCTACCAGCAGGCTGGGAACACAGACAGCTACCTGTGGTCCGTGCTCCTCAGGGGGCACTGAACCACTGCGCCACCTCTGGAACCTGGAGGACAGTAGAACTAACTCCTTCAGACCAACGCTGCCTCCCTTTTTGGAAATTCAGGGTTTTGCAACACACCATTATGCACCAGTGGCAGACTGGCATTTAATGTGTCAGAATGCGGTGAAGTGGCTCGCTGTACAGGGCCATTCAGCTATGCACGGCTTTTTGTCTTCAAAGCCTATCAAAAGGGGTAGAGTCCAGGAGCCACCCCCAGGAACACCACTTTTCAAAACTAGGAGTCAGACGTGCCCAGAACACTGTTTGCTGTTGTTCATGCTTCTTCTGAACAAGTCCCTGTCCTCCACTGAGCACAGGGTCACAGGCAGACGCCACTTCATACAGGGACAAAGGATGTCATGAAGCTAATTTCCAAGACTAAGAAAAAGGTACAGAAGACGTCCGTTCCTTCTATGGGAACCCTGTAGCACACTCAAATAACAACAGATTAGAAAACAAAATCCTGAAAGTAACGTAGCAGGCCAAATACCTGATTCTAGAAGCAGTACATCGTGGGCCAATTAAGTTCAATTTCAAGGCAAAACACTGACTGGATTATTCTGTAGCCCATCTTTCCCCAAACAGATAGCACCCAACCCAAAATCCAAATGAATAGCAAAAACTAAAGGGATGCAGTACGCACTCTGATTTGGTTTTTAAGCTGCTCGGCCTCCTGCCGCAGCTGGTCGAGCTCACTCATCTTCAGACCCCGGCACTCTTCAGTGCGGCCTCAACGAGTCTGAGATCTGAAACAAATTCAAGCACCAAGAGTTAATAAATAATGACTGGGTAATTTAATGAAAAGGAAACTGAAATTTTGAGAGCTGCAGTTTCACTACAAATCAGAGCATCTTTCTTCAGCATTCATGAGAACTCACAGGGTGTCTACCAAGGGCTGGGTTAATAATTACTATAATTCACTCGCTTTGTACAAGGACGATGTCTAACAGACTACTCAAAAAGATGGTGCTGGGCTGAAAAGACAAGAGACTGTTAAGAAGCACTTGCCATGATGATGTGGGTCTCACCAAGCACCTAAAAGGGACACTAGAGCCGTGCCCACCCGGTCCCCTGGGGGCAGTTAGGCCAGGAAATGGGGTACAGTGGTCAGGGCCGCAAAGCCATGCTGTGACACCCAGGTGCCAGAGGCTCACAGAGCAAAACCCTAAAGGGCACAGCCTCCCTTCCAGGGACACTGCGCTCTCCACCAGGATCCTTGCAGGTAGGGGCCAGATAAAGCTCAGTACGGGGAGACCTGGCCACTCAGGCCCCACCCCGAGGGACACTTCCTGAACTATCCAAACAAATCCATCCTGTGAAGAGAGACTCATCTCCCAGGGGTATGTCGCGGTGGAGGCTGCACTTCTGACGAAGAACATCGCTGTGAAGTCGGCCATAAATACGACCGCGCACCACAAAGCTGATGACGGAATCACCAACAGTTTTTATACTGATATGATCACCAACATCTTTCAACCACTTAGGAACACAATCAGCTCCCACACACAGCTTACACAAGGGCCTCTGTAACCTATGTGAATACACAGGGATAACTTTCCATCACAGATTTTGTGTAAAAGTCACAGGGTCAAGAGCTCAGATACGAGATATTTAATAAGTACTTTCATTTTCCTGAGTTTATTTTCCTGAGACTGAAACATGTGGGGAACAATCCGCAAGACCCAGGCAGCAGACCGCAGAGTTCCTCATCTGGACGAGCTTCCCTGTGCCGCACAGAAGAACTGACAGAAACCCTTCCATGGCATGTACTATGGATGTTTGATGTGCGTTCACTGATGAAAACAAAAACGTCCTTCCCATTAAAAAGCACACTACGGAAGTATGAGTGAGTCCTGGGTTCCTGCTCTCACCTGCACCCTCAGGCCCACGTTGCAATGTAGCGCATTCGGTCAGCAGGCCAGGCAGGGCGAGGTGAGCGCGGGGCCTCCAGAGGGAGCGTCAGGTCGCCAGCGCTGCCCTCAGAGAAGTCCGCAGGACTGTGGGGCCCGTGAGCTGCAGCACCGTAGAGGCAGCGTGCTGCCCCGGACCTCTAGGAAGGCGACACCCAGTGAGTTTGAGGGCCCTTCTGGACCAGGACAGAACTTCCAAGGGCAGCTACTTCCTGGGTGCTGTGAGCATGCAGAGGGCTCCACTGGGGCCCCTGAACAAGGTGCACGCTCCCAGCCTTGGGGGGCTGTGCTGCAGGCCGCTTACCCAGGCCAGGGCAGGGTGAATTCTCCACTCTTCACGCATAAACTCTAAGGAGTGTGATCCATGAATATTAACATGTTAAATAATAACAGTGCCAAGAGAATACAAAGTAATTCTTAAAATAGAGGCTGTGCTGTGTTGTCTGAGCTCATGCACAGCCCTGCATCCTTTCTGCTGGCCCAGGCAGCAGACTGGCACACCCTGTATTTCATGTGATCACACTTGATCACGCAGCTAACTGCAGAGCTGGCATTCTTTCACCCCAACCCCCAACATGAGAGAATTATTCTTAATCTGTGAAGAAGCTACCTCATTCAACCCTCCCAAGGTCAGTGAGAAGAATGTAACAGCTAAGGGAGTCAGGAGTCATTAGGGGCCAAATTCAATTTTAATCACATACAACTTTTAATTCACTTACCACATGTCAAAAGTTACCAAGCTACACATTGAAATTTGTACATTTTACTGTATATGCCATCTTATATATAAAAAAAAAAAAACTAAGGTAAGTTTTAAAGTAAACTAGTTCTTCAGGTCCATTTGGTCAAGAGGGAGCACCTTCTGGGTCTTGCCTTAAAGACGTCAATTCCAATATTCAGTGGGTAACTTCTGAGATCTTAGATTTAAGTATTTCCTTTATTTAGCTTTTTTTAAAAATATGTATGTGATAATCACCCACCGGTATTGCTTTAAACTGGAGAAATGAATTTATGGAAAACCTAAGTATCTTTAAAATGAGAAGTTCCACTTTACTCTGTCACTGCACAAAATTTCAGAATAACACCAACACTTGGTGACTGTAATCTTCAATGATGAGAAGGGAACAAAACCAGATCTATTTCTCTCCCATCAGCAGACAGCATAAATCAGTATCGCTTTTTGATTATAGGTCCCTCTATAATCAGTGCCCACATTTGAGTCTCAAGGGACTCAAAATCCACATTTGTTAATTTTTAAGAAAAACGGTATTCCTATTTCTACTAGTAATAAAAATAGTGTCCTGTAAGATCCTGTCTAATCTGTGTAGATGGTCTGGTAAGACAGAGAAACCTACCAGACCCTTAACTGCTTTAATTATACTCTCTAATCTCCAAGTCAGAGGTGTATTTTCTAAAACCAAATCTGGAAAAGAGGATTTTACAGACAGACTTACATTGGTGAAGGGACAGCCAGGGTGTCCGGCATGATGGCCTCTCTGTCACCTGGTGGGCATGTGGGCTTCACCCTGAGCGGCACGGTCCGGGGCCACCAGGATGTGGGGGCGCACACAAGCAAAGAAGGATGCCCCCTTCACCCTGAGCACACAGGCCCTGAGCCGGCCCACAGGCTGGGTGTGGGGAGCTGGGACAGTGCTACTGTCACAGAAATCCAGGCCACTGCTGTCCCCCAGGAGAAACCAGCACCCCACAGACAAGGAGCCCGGTGCCCCAACACAGAGAACAACTGACAGCAGACAAAAACCTTTCTATTCCCACAAAGAAGTTCACTCCACATGCTCTTTGGAGAAGATGCAGTAAATGAAATGAACAAGGTACAGAACAGTGTATAAAGTGATGATGTGTACTTTTTTGTGTATACAGAAAGCGCAAATATCTATCTAACATAAGCAATCTTCATACACACAAGAAAATGTTAATGGTGGTTATTTCTGAATAAACAAAGGCATAGTGTGAGCTAATTTTTTCTTTTTTCAAAAAAGTTAACAGGTTATTCCAGCTCTGGAACCAAGAAGCATTCACACTTTTAAATTTGTACTTTTCAGTTTAAAAAACAGCTAGCTGATGTTAATGTCTTACTGGAGGAACTGTAACATCTCTAAGAACAGTAACGAAGCCAATATAAAAACCCAGAAAAATGCCTGTCATATGGCAAATGAAAAATAAATTTGTGTGTAGTCATTTTGGCTATTTTAGAAAAACATAATTGGTTTTAAAAGCGACATTTAAAAAAGACTAAAAGCATTTTACTTGGAATCACTGGTCTTATCTTTCTTTTCATTTCCCATGTGGTAACACAGTTTATACTACTTTAATAATTTTAAAATGAACGTACACTTTAAAGCTTTACTTACATTTAATCACCTTGCTTGCTTTTCTCTTCACTATCCTTAGTCCCCCAAAGCCTTCTGGAAACCCCACCATCAGGTTTACACGGCCTGGGTTCCTTCTCTCCTCGGGCCAAAGCCACAGGTAAGCTCTGACCATGCTGACTCAGCACGGTCATGGTTTAATCCAGTAAGACAGGGCCATGGAGAGCCTGCGTGTCCTCCTCTATGACCCACATCTGCCATCAGCTTTCATTCAGACTTCTGTGTTGGAAATACTTTTCACAGAAACTTAAAAAACTTAAAAGCAAGTATGTGAAGTGACGTGGCCCTACTTTGGATTATATCCAACATCTTCGTCAATCCAAGAGTTAACACAATTTTGTTATCCAAATATTTCACATTTGCAATGTAATGTGCCTCCGGAGGCACCCATTACTTGATGATAACTGTAGCACATGCCCTCTAGTCAAGGGCACTTCGGTGTGTCCTTGCAGCCACAGCAACAAGACTCAGGCTCAAGTCTGCTAATGACAGTATGGGGAGATGGTATAAAGAAGAATTTCAAGTTCTGGCTTTGCCACAATACAAGCAAGGAAAGTAACTTTCACCAAATCACTTTTCACTCTGGTCTGTTTACTGCAAAGTGGAAATGGTGTTACCTACATCACAGGATCGAAATATAGATCCCACGTGACAGCTGGACATGCTCCGTCAGCTTCCTTCCAGTGATTAACCGGCAAGGCACACCTTTCCAGAAGCAGCTGCAAGGCACCCAGTGTGGCTCCCAGACGTCAGCCACGGGGGGCACGTCCTTGGGCCACCTGGGCTGGGACTTGGCAGCGGCACCTCTGAGGTCCTAAGCCTAAACTAGCCCTACGCTGAGCATCCAGTGCCACCAGGGGAAGGAGCCTCCTGACGGCTCAGCTGCACCAGCACCACGCCTCACCTCTGAGACGAAGTGGCACTCGAAGGAGTTTACACGGGGAACTCAAGCCTATTTCACCGGCTTTTCTCCTTTTATTTCCCCAGTCTGAGTTAATCTACAAAACCAAGGCAGTGTGGATCCACACTGCAAGCACAAAGTGCGGAGCCCCGCATCCTGCACACTGTTCCAACATCACATGAATAGCACGGGGCCACAGGGCAAGGACCCCATGTCTGTACAGGTGGCACTGCTGAAGCAGGTGGACCCCACCCCCCGCCACGGCCTTCCCAGCCCTTAAAGGTATATGCTGACATGCTTGAGAGTACCACACTGTCTGAGACCGGCTTCAGAACAACCAACGAGGAGGGAAGCAGGTGAGGGTGCACAACACAAGATTGGCTGCAAGCTGCTGACTGCTCTGGTTTGGTGATGGAGTCTCTCAAACTATTCGTTAAAATTTTGTACATATTTCATTTTCCATTAAAATAGTCTTCAAAAATGTTAGAGACTTTGGATCTTTATTCAATATGTACAGACTACCTAGAGAAAATCTGAATATGGGT